GATGAACATGGGGTACGCTCGCAAGGTGCGTGCCAGTTTTCTCGTGATAATTGCTGTTTCAGCTTGTAAAATTTTGTAATTGAATTTATCTTAATATTGATAATTTGCAGTGGTGACTCACTCGATTTCATCACTTACAACACTTAGTTGAAGGCTTATTTCCGCCGCCGGGTGAGGCTAGAAATTGTTGAAAAGGTAGTTCGATCGGTTTTCCTGAATAGCGATCCCCTGTGCGATACCAGAGAGCCGGCAAAAGCGCTCCTTGGAGTGCCGCTGGTGGGTTTTTTGGGTTGTTTCCGTTGATTGGGCGCTTTGAAGCGCTGGATAGTCGCTCCAGGGTACGACTCGTGTGTTGCGATCTGCGTCTTCGAGCCCAGTGTGTACGTTTCTTTGTCCGAGTCATGGCATCCGCCAGTGCGGCAACGGGGGGAACAGCGGCAGCGAACGTGTCAGTGATAGAAATTGGAGGTTAGTACTCAAAATGTTGCATCAAATAGTAAAATAATTCGTGGCTGCTTTGTCGCTTTCTGCGGTTCGATATAAGCACATCTAGAACGTCTTCGTCGTTCAACCACAATGAAATATGAGAACACGGACACGCAAGATAAAAGCAGCGCAGCAAAACGATATGTAGCAGCTCCGGGTGTTTACAAAAGTTAATTGAGGTTCCCGTTTTGTGTATCGCTTGTTCATTACTAAAAACGGCTGCGTTGAAATGGGCCTATTGCAGGCAAAAATTCATGAATGGTTCATCATTTCCAGTCACGCGGAAAGCGGTGGAACTTCAAAACATTGCAGCCGCACGTGCCTTGCCGAATTCCATGAAAGCTACGAGGTCCTTGGGTGGCATTCGACGCTTTCTGTCCTTATTCGTGCACCCTATGACCGAGCAATGGTGTCCCGATGACCGGGGCACTGTTGCCATCGAAGCCCGTGGCACTAATTAAGTTTGCGAGTCTAAAACAGAAAAGAACGCGCGAAAGAAGTTGGGGCACAGCAGACACCCAACACCGGCCAAGCCTCTCCATCCGGGACTTTTACTCTTTTTACACAATCAGAAAGGGGGAAAGCGCCGGTAGCCCTTTCCCCTTTTCTCTCTCGCTCTCAAAATGGCGCTACCCACGATAAAACGGTCTATACAGATACGAAGTGTGAGCGATGAGACAGAAAATGTTGAATCCACTGAAGAACGTTTAAGTCAATATTAAGTTTACTCAGCTGAAAAAGCAATAATTGGTGACTGACCTTATCGAAAGCTTTCGAGAAATCGAGGAATACGCAGTCCGCCTGGGACCCACGGTCTATAAGGCGCATAGGCTTTTAACGAAACCAGATATTCGATTTACGCATGCAGCAAACGCCCTGGTTTCTCAAAGATAGCACTGAACGAGGTTCGCATTTTCCAAAATCCGCGTTGTTTACGGCTGATTTTTTGCATACACGTGCTTTAGTATTAACACAGTGGTGTCTTTGCCGTCTCAAAGTGATTATTGCCAGCACAACATAGCGGGCTTTTTCAAAAACACAGCGTCAAAAGTGAGGGACTGCTTTTCTTCGTACCTAGTGGTTCAGACCGCGCTGCGCTGCGTCGTGGAACTTGCAGGCATGGAGCAGTCACCGCCTGCGCGTTATAGCTAACAAGGTTCGGATCCGTGTTTTCCTTGTCAGTACAAGTCACTGAACGTACGTAAGTGGCTCGGATCTTCCTGGCATGCACGATAGAGCACAGGGCGGCGACAATCATTTCGAGAGATTGACTCCACCGCGGCTTAGTGAAAGTAATTGAATTCAATGTCTGCGGTAAGCCGCTCAGCGGTTCCCAAATTGGGAACATCACAGCCATCCGCTCCCTGCTAATGGACGTCTGGGCGGTTCTTCCGCACCGCTCCTTACCTTGATGTCACCGGCGTGGACCGCTGAGTGAAGGGGCACGTTGCCGTCGGCATCAAAGAGCTTCATCATCTCGGCCCTCGAATATCCGCTGGATTCACCTGAAAAAAAAAATGAAATTGTCACTGTGTTTGTCTTAATGAGTGCGAAGTGAATACGCCTCAGTGGGTGCCTGATGTCTCCGCTGTACATATAAGAAATTTGACCCGGTACCACTGCTAGCCTGGAGCCCGAGGAGTAGTGATATGCGACCGCACGCCGGTATATAATGCCATAGCCTCCAATATACTGACAAAGCCCGGCAGACCGCCAGGAGAAGCGGCCGCCGAAATGGAAAAGGTGAAGTGGCACCCAACGGATCAGAGGAGAGCCACGTGACTGGCGTCCCGCTGCGGCGAGACGCCGAAACACACTTCTTCCGAGCGAACAAGTGGGTTTCGGTTCCTCGCCGCTGCAAAAGCTGTGCTCTGACGTCCAGGTTCCCCGAGAAATGGCTCTTGGATGCTCTGTGCTACCAGATCCTCGCGCTCCAAATCTGCGACCGGGCACCCTATGGCTCCGTCATCGAGCTGCCAGGCCTTGTCAGTATAGGGAGTATTCACTGGCGGCCATATCCGTGTGCGCTGCTGCTGAGCACGTGCTGGCGGCGAGCTTCCGCAGTCCTTTTGGAGCGTGCATTTATCACCATCAAGGTTGCCGGTCTTAGCAGGCTATTAATGTGAGCTCGTTCTGAGCATGCGCTCTAAACATCGCCCTCAAATATGGCGTCCAGTGAATACCTATGATAATGCTCATCCTGATCGAAACGGGCAGGGTTGGGAATTGAACCCAGGATCCGCGAGTTCTGCAGCGCGAGCTTTCGCTCCACGTGCGCCGTCAGACGACACGCGAACATGCTCAACAGCGCAAGTCACAACAAGTTAGGCAATCCCGATGCCACCGCCGCTATCTGGCTGAGCGAAATCTGTAAAATTGTCGGACACGCGAACAAAATACCGTCAATCACAAAAAGATCCCACGCCATAGTTGGAAGTGTTTGTGGAGCCCAAGCAAAAGCTTCGATCCCCATCCCCCTGGGATGGGGGAGCTACGTCAGCGCGGCTCCGCGCAAAAGCGTGACGCTGTTATTACGTGGTGAGCATCCCGGAGACCAGAGGGAGGAATCTCGCCCCGGTGTGAATACCCCTTTAAGAGAATGTAAATAATGTGTCCACAAGATTAGAAAAAAAAAAATCCATAAAAAATTAACACAGCGTATAGTCTCCTCCCATACGGGGGATTATAAGGAATGCAAGGGGTAAGGAGTTAGGTGGGAGTCTAATGTTGCGGCTGCGGGCGCATTAGTTAAAAGCTCGAAGCACTGAGGGGGCATTTAGAGGTGCATAAAAAAAAAAAAAAACCTGAACTAAAAAGGCCGTTGACTTTATATTTTTATCTCTATCTTGATCTATCCGCCTCGCGAAGTAGGCCACACATTATTCGTGTTCACCGTTCAGCACTTTCATATATAGAAAACATGCAATCAAAGTGCCACGTCATTTCACCGGTTAGACTGAGCCTTTCATTAGTCCGGATTGAAGAGTCACCCCGGAAAAACTGCAGGCATCGGAGGACGAGCGAAAGAGGCTCAAAACGAAGGGCATTAGCGTCAAAGTTGACATTGATGTTTTTCGCCTATCGCTGCTGATTCCGTTTTGTTTTATACATACCGAAACCGTAACCGCCTGAATGCGCTTAACAGCGTTCATGACGACGACACGTGTCACTACAAAAAGGCACTCAGATGACCTCATCATCTGAGCACTAGATGATTACATTCCCGACGACCAGTTCTCCAGAATCTTCCATGGATCTCTGATCTTTGACGACGCCCACTTGAAAAAAGCCGATATGGCTGCGGAACTAAACAGTCCTTTGAAGATTAAATCTTAGTGGTACGTTGAAATGAATCTTTCATACTTAGCCAAGTATAACCTATAGCAAATTAACAACTACGAACACAACACAACTGCATAATGCTTATAACCCGACATCGTGCACACGGGCACAGTTAAAACGCTCCCCCGGTAACACTATGCTACAGTTGAAACTTAGGCAATATAGAAATAAGGTTAATGGCATGATTCGTCAGGCAAAACGCATGTACTTTAGAAATAAATTAAAAGACGCTCGTTTTGATATAAAAAAAAAGCTCGGTCGCTCATCAACAATCTGTATGGTACGAAGAAGCGCACTAAAAGTAATTATCTATTTTCTTTCGCAATTCTCTACAGATATATAGAGTATTGCTAATGATTTTAACAATTTTTTTTCTCTCGAGTATCAGGTATAGCAGGACAACACCGAGATTCATGTACTTTAAACAATAGTGTCTTAGACACGGCTTATCTTCCTCTTCACTCTGAAGCAGAGCTTAGGTCAATCCTTTTTAGCCTTAGGCCCAACACATCTCCAGGTATCCATGGTATTTCAGTTAACTCACTTCGGCAGAAACTTTGAAGGGATTAGGGCTGTCCTACTTTCAATTTTTAATCACATTATATAGAATAATATTCCATTAGTAAGGAAAAAAAGCTTCGGTAAATCCATTATTCAAGGGTGGCGCACGAAATAACGTAGGACATTATCGACCCATATTCATTATGTCTTGCTTTGCAGAAATACTAGAAAAACATTTATGGACAACTATGAATAGCTATGTAGATAAACACAGTTTACTATCTCCTTATCAGTACGGATTCACACAAAACCGAGATACTCAAATGCTCCTTGATGACTTTTCTGACATGCTCAGTTTATCTTTTGAACGGAATCAAGTCGCCTGCGCACTGTCCGTTGATGTCTGCAAGGCATTTGGTAGTGTTAGCCATCACATTTTGCTAACAAAGCTTTCAAAGTTAGGCTTTCGAGGCTCTTTTCTACTTCTGCTGGAAAACTTTTTACAGGATAGTTTTATTTGGAGGATATCAAAGCGGATTCTTTTCAATCAAAGCTGGCGTCCCCCAGGGCTAGCTCGGTCTTAAAGGGACACTGACAGGGTATTTATGCTCGCCGAGGTTTTTAGTTGTACGTGACATATGAGAGCTCAACTACCCAGAACAGAATTTGCGGCTCGAAATTCGGTTTCTTTCCGCCCGAAAACCGCCGATGAAGAACTGGCCGGTTCGAGTCTCGCTCACTCTCTTTTTCGCGGTCACGGGCCGTTTTCTAAGGTATCGATGCGACCACCAAATTTAATCAAAGTCGTGGGTCACTGAAGGCACACACTCAATATTAAAAATAGAAAAAAATATGAAACCCATTTTTTGTGGCTTCTAAAAAGCTGTAAATACGTTGATTGAAAAAAAAAAGTTCCACAGACAACCGGAAGCATTCTGTGCGTTCGTCGTTTCGCGGGTCTCGCGGGGACGGCGATGGCAGCGGACGACGGGCGTGGGACCTCTATTTCAGAGTTCGCGGTACCGGCGAATTCTGTCTACCGTTAAAAGAGAAATTTGGGACTGATCAAAAGAATTGGTATTCATCCCGTACGACACGCCCGACCACCAAGCCGATTTGCACGAAGACGTCGCCGAGCCGTCGCTCCCTTCTCGTGGCTGAAGACATCGCTCGCGCAAACGTCAAGCACGACGTGTCTACTTCGAGTTGAATATGCACGCGTACGATTTCTTTACTAGGTGCGAATGTCCCCAAAGCGTGGTGCTTCCCGACTTCGACACGGGGGTGCTTTTGCTAGAGAAAAATCGACAGCCAACTTTCCAACTTAGTTTACCGGCTGAATTATTACTAAGGAAAGAGATCCTCCAGAATCGAGATGCCCCAGTAGCTCAGTAGAAAAGACGTCCGGTTCACACGCGGTAGGACCGGGTTCGATCCCCCGTGAATTTTTTTTTTTTTTTTTTTCAAACATTTTTTTGATGTTTACATATTTTTTTTTTACAATCATTACTGAAGAAACAAACAAAAAATAACAAACAAATGTTGTGGACAATACTTCGCTTAATTAAATGGTATGGGATTTTCGTTTTGACACCTGCGAACTCAATGTAATCACTTTCCACAAAATGCAAGGAGCATATAAGTCAGGTAGCGTCCGCTTTCCAAGGTGCCCGTAAATGTTCTACAGGAATTGCAGCCAGCCATTGGTCCCGATCCCGTTGATCTTTCGGAAACTCTGTCGCACAATGCCACTTTTTTTCGGATGCAGGACATGTGAGCCAGCTCTTCACGCAACATCTTCGGTGTATTCTTTTCGGAGCCGATCATAGAAATTCACCACGGGCACTCACTACTCATCTCCAACTCCTCAATGTACAAAACCACTCATCTTGGAGTACAGAACAACGAGCGGGACAAACATAACTGCAAAAGAATCGCAGGGCGAGCAGGTTCCGCACGCCGCATCGCACGCCGCACGTCGTGTCGTCTGCTACGGAGAGGAGGAAAAAAAAAAACAAAAAAAAACGCACGGTCGGGTGTAGCCACGTGACTTCCGCCACTCACTCTCTTCTCTCCACTTCTCCGACCTCCGTCGGGTTTCGGTTTCGGTTTCGAGCAGTTGCGTCTTTTGGCTTTATTAAAAAAATACGCTACTCTGTTGCAAAATATTAATTGAGTAGTCCTCCGACACCATAATGAAGCGTCTGACAAAAAATAAAAAAAATTTTTTGGGGGGTGTCAGTGTCCCTTTAAGTCCACTATTATATAATCTTTATGTTAACGACCTCTCCATGGTGGTACAAATTGCACTCTTTCAATATGCTGACGATACCGTTATTTTATCTAGAGCGTTCAATTATTCAGATGTCTTTTCGTCTTTACAAACTGCGGTAATCGGAACTATGGACTGGTTCGAAGCTAATTTAATTAAAGTTAATGGATCCAAAATACAGCCAATATGTTTCCACAACCCTCAAGACTATCGGTCTTGATGCAGTTCTCGGCCCTTACGCCCTACTCGGCCTCAGAGCCACTGCCGGCCCTCCCGCTCCTCTCGGCCGTAATGCACTCTCGGCCTTAATGCGACTATCGGCCTTAGCGAGATGGTCCCACCCGTGTATGGTCATTTTGCTCTCCGTTGACAGATTCAAATCAATTCGAT